CGGGCCCCTGAAACACCCTTTGGCTCTCAACTGCCTGATGAAGTTGGAACGCATCAGAACTGGCTTGTTCTGGGCCCAGGAGGTCCTTCCCCGCCCCTTCAGGGTGTCTGTCTCAGCTGTATGTCTGGTACATATTGTCTCTATCTAAGGGGGAGGTAATCAGGAGGCTGACTTGGAGGAAAATTATCAGGGAAAAGGTCATTATTTGAGGAAGAAAAATTCCTTAATTGTAAAACTTTGCCAAAGGCGAGAACATTCCTTCAAGATGCCTGCTCATCACACTTGCAAATCTAAGGGTCTGATTGTTTCTGAAAAATTATCTTCCCAACCCTTCTTATGAAATACGTAAGCAGCAGGCTGGAGGACTAAAATACTAACTGGCCTTAAGCTAGCAGGGTCCTTTCGCATAACTCCAGATGCCCACACAGGGCTGAGTAAACAGATGACATTCACGTTCGCCGCTGGGCAGAGGGTGGCCACCCCGACCGCACCACCAGAAATATTTAAGTTTTGTTGATTTGTTACATAAACACGCCAACCTCAAACTCCGTCTGGGCAATTAGGTGGCTCTCCTCTGAGCTCTGCCCTGCCAGGAGGGCGAGGCATGGGCTGCGTTCAGAACAAACCTGCTGCTAGGCTCAGCCTCGTCCTGGGAGGAAACATGGCTGACAACATAACAGAAAGTTTGTGTTTGTTAAGTATTTCAGAAGGGCGCTAAGAGCAGGGAGTGAGATTTTATAAATTTGAATTCAAAGGATATAACCATCCACCCCAGCGACACACTCCTCCTGGCCCCTGTGGGTGGAAACCAGCCCCCCAGGACAGACTCACGCTGTTCCCGGCGCCTCCCAGGATCCTGGAAGTGGCTTCTGGGAGTATCTCATCAGCAACCCCCTCGGCCTTGAAGGCTCTTAATCTGCTAAGCGTGAGGTGAGGCCTCACCTGCTAGGGAGGCCCTCAGCGCATCCCGCATGATCAGACACGAGTTCAGGATGGGAGATACCTGACTTGGCTGACCCTACGCATTTGTCATCTGAACTGTCCTCAGACACCTGTCCTCAGACACCTGGGACGCTGAGGTGCCATGAGGATCGCACTTGGGGGGCGTGGGCCTAAGAAGGGGTAGCTGGGGAAGGCCAGGAGAACGCCAGTGAACTGATTGCATTCTTTGGCTCTGGCGCATCAGGAATGGAGAGCACGTCACGGGGGTGCACCCTGTGCGGGAGGGGCTACAAAGAACCAGAAGGTCGGTGGCCTCGACTATTTATTTACTCATCCTCCACGTTAAGCCTTGTGCTGGACTCAGTGGTGTGGATGTTGGGCAACTCTGGCAGGGAAGAGACTAACAGCAGCAACTTGTTAAAATACTAATTCCTCGACTCAATTTCTTTTTTTTTTTTTTTTTTTAAAACATATTTTTTTTTTTTTTTATAGAGGCATGCTTTATTTATTTGTTTGCTGGTTTGTTTGTTTATACATGCACTGGGTACAGTCAGAAGCGCGGGAGGGTGAGAGAATTCACCAGAGCCAGAGCGGGGAGCAGAGCAGGCAGAAGGACCGAAGTACACTGCTGAGGGGAGCAGCGGGTGGCAGGAGAGGTCTGCGCACCATGTGGGACCCTCCTCCGGTGGCCGGGGAGCAGCCGGGGATTGAACCGGCGCCACAGAGGCCGCGGGCAGCTTCTCAACCCAGCGCTCAACCGCTGCGCCACCGGGGAGGCCCCCTCGACTCAACTTCTTAGCTCTAAGTGGAGACAAGCAGCTGCATTTTTCACAAGTGTTGGGAGCAATTCTAATGCAGGTGGGAAACCAGCTTAAAAAAAGCCATGATTACAGAAGCTATGCGCAAAACTAGGCTAAGCGGTGGAGAAAATGATGAACGGCCTGGAGAGAATTCCTGTGTCCCACAGCCCCTGTGGATTTCGCCGACTCTTGAGTCCAGGGAGCACGGCCCGGCACGGCGTTGCTCCACACAGAGTCCGTGGAAATAGCCATAGCCTTGGACTTGGGGCCCAGTGCCAGGTCAGGTGGCCTCTCTGCCCCTCCCTCTCTACTGCAGAGCTCCGGCCGCACAAAGGACAGAACTTGTATTACTCGGGAGGACGACCCACCACTGACAAGGAGGTGACAGGAGGGTGGCACTGTGAGGAATTTCTTTTTTGACTCCTGTTGAAGGCCCAATACAACAGCCTACTCCATTTTTGTGTTTTTCCTCCATCTTTTTTGGTCCATGAAATCCACTGTCTGTCCTAGAATCAACCATCTTACTAAGATCTTAAGCAGTCATGTTAAGAAGGTTTAGGGGGACAGTCCCCTGGATCTGTGGTTATATTAAGGAGGGGGGCAAGTTAAGACCCCAGCAGACGGACTCTTCTGTCCCATCTCCAGCGACCAGAGTCTAACAGGGCTGTGGACACTAACTTGCTCGGGGGAAATTTGGGATCTTTTGCAGGATGAAGGATTGAAATCAAACCCAGTCTCCTAATTGGCCAATAGTTGCATTGAACAGTGAAGGTTTCTCCTTAAAAGGCTGTGCTCCTGTTTCCAGAATATTGTCAAATGCCTAAACAAAATCATCCATAGCTAGAAAGGAAACCAATGATAGGGAAATGCAGAATTAAAATATTGAAAAAATTCACATTTGGTTATAGTAATACATGTAGCTCTCTTTTGTAGACACAAGTGTAGCAGACCTACAAGTGTATTCATTTTGAGGTAGGATGTGAGAAACTTCAGTGATTTCTGCTGGTGACAGGGAGAGGTGCTGTGACTACTGCTCGGGTTGCTGCTGACGTTTCTGATAGAAGAAAATACACTATAGTTGTGGAGTTTGGTGAAAAAAAAAAAAATTTCCCCACCCAAGTTTATGGGCCCCTGAATTCTAGTCCGTTTCCTTGTTTGAAGCGTAGCTGTAACAGCTTTTCTGCAGCCTGTCACTGGCTGAGTTAGTTAAAGAAGAACATGAAGCTCTGTTTAAGCAAGTGATCTGTCCCAATGCTCAACTTTCTCAGAGGCTCTCGATTACAGGTTTGTAACAAATGCCATAAAAATGGACAAATACGTGCATATGCATTTTCCTGAAATAAACCCCGTATGCTCGTCCACCTTATTTATGGGTACATGTAAATTATGATCAGAACCAAACCCTGGCCAATGTCGCTGGATGTCTCTCAACATCTCCTATGAATTGCTTTCGCGGTGTTAGCAGGTTCTAATGGAAACAGACAAAACGGGCCTGGAAGTAAAGGCATGAGAGTATCAAGGAATGGGTTGGCTAATTGCCTCGCTGCCCTTTTCCCGAGTCCCCATTCAGCTCTCTCTGGTGACCAGCTCATCCCCAGAGTATGTTCCCGGGAGCTTTCGCAGGGGATGCTGGCTCATAGCCACCACAGGGCTGTGAGCAGGGAGGGCAAGACCTCATGTTCGCGTGCCACGTGGGTAACAGGGCCCACATTTCTGGCCAGCGATTTCTTACATTTCAGTTACACAGGCAGGAAAGAAATTGGGCCCCACTCTCCTCCGGCAGATTTCTAACCTCAACCTACCAGGTCGAAGGTTATACGATTTTTTTCCCTCATGCCTTGGAGTTTGGAAAGCGATTGGTAACTAGCTCTTCCCCAAATCACACCTCCTCTTGTCTGTGAAACCCATTAACTAAGCGACCAAAGACCTTTCCTGTCAGTGAAGGAAGCCCGACAGGAGTGTTTCCACATCAGGCCAGGGGAGGAGAGAAGACGGGCCCTCAGAACGTGCGGGATGACATCTAGGGGAGTGACAGCGAGGCCAGGCCGTGGGAAAACCCCCAGCAGCTCCTGCTCCCGGGTCCTGCAAGGGGGTGTTGAAAACAAGACTCACTCTTGTGTTCTGCACGGTCTTACCCCTTCCTGGTGATGTGGTGAGTTGCCTGGTGAAAGCAGGACAGAAATCTGTCCTGGAACAGAAGACTACAAACGATTTTTTTCCGAAAAATTTTCAAAAATAGAAAATGAAACTAAATGGCAGAGGAAAATAGGCAACTTGAGTGCATAAAGCAACAGCTTAAAAATCACTTGTGAGAAAGACTGCTTGCTGAATGCTGGATCTACAGACCAGATTGACCGTGACCCACCCCGTAGTCCTCAGGTAGATGTGTAATACAGAGGGTCCTGGCTCGTCCTATATTTGGAGAGGGCCCCCCTAACTGAAGGGGGGGGCATTAGGACACTTCAATGGCCAATCAAATTATTCATGGAAGAGACAGTCTTTGAATGAGGAGGCTTTTAAGTTATTAAAGTGTTTTGGAACAAATTAAACTGTACATAAGGACACATTCTGGGCAGGGGCACTGGGGAGCGGGGTCAGGGCAGGGTGCAGCTCAGGGCAGGCAGGAAAGGCCCGGTGGCCAGGACGCCAGCGAGGATGTGCCTGCGGGACATGCGAGAAGTTTATGGCGACTCTTTAACTTATGCTGCTTAGAGAACAATCACGTCTTGTTTCTTCCTGAATCCTTGGTTTTGTCTTAACTTTTTATATAAGTTTGTATTATTGTAGGAAAAAACAGAAGTGAAAACCCAGGAACTCCGGGGAGGGGGGAACGGCCACAGAGCATTCTTTACTGCGAAGTAAGGGTTGGGCAAAAGGAAAAAACTTTTGCCAGACACCTGACCTTTGAGAGTCCTTTTCTTTGCCCTTTGGGCCTTTAAAGGCTTAATGGCCATTGAGATTCATTCACGGGTGGAAGAAACTACCTAAACTCGTCAGTTTTTACTGAAGTGATGTCAACGCCACTGGCACTGCACAGTTCTGGACATTCACAAATGTGCTTTGTTCCGAGGACAGCATAAGCCCCGGCAGTTGGAAGGTTTCACGACTGACCAGATATTCCTGTGTGTGTGTGATTTTTTTTATTATGTTTATAAAGCTCTGGCTGCAGTCATATTTTCCCAAGAAATCGGAGGCAGGTAGCAAGCCCTAGCGGCTGGAGAGCTGAGAGCTTTATCTGGCGCTGAAGACTTGCTGGTGGGTTTTCGAGATACGTGTTTATTTTCAGTTCAAAGACAAAATAGAAAAACTCACAGCAGAACATGTTACCTTTTCGTTCACACTCTTTTAATCCCACAGTCCCAATACAATACACATTCCAAAGTGTAAGCAGTAGGAAATAAAGTAAACTCTGCAGAAACAGAAAATAAATTAGTTTCCTTCAAACATGGTGGAGGTCCGTTTGCTGAATACTATATTCTGTTGCAAAAGGAATTCGTCTTGAATGAAGAATAATAAATCTTTGGTCTATTTCGCCATTTCTCCAGCAGCGTTTCGTAACAAGCATATTTCAAATTCGTGTTCTTTCTCCAAATGCAGCAAAAAGGCAAGGAGTAGTTTCTATTTCGGGAGCCTAAGAAACAGGAAAAAAAATGTTTCACTGGTTTAGAACAGCTTTATCTCCTGGTGTTAAATTGAACTTATTATTGCTCTAAAGTTGGAGACTGAAAGAAAATTCCAGAAAAGATAAGAAATTCAGTTCACAAGACAAGGCTGGGGTCACTGGGTGGACTCTTTTATGCGCAGCGGAGATTCAGCCCCATCTGTGACCCCCTCGGCATGGACCCTGTACACAGTTTTCTAACTTCCTGAAAGACTTACTTAGAGACTCTGGCAGAAATTCCATGACTTCTAAGTTTGAGATCTAGACTCCAGAGCCTAGGGAGTGCGACTGTTTCAGATTAGGAATCCGTTTCAGTTTCTCTTTTACAGTAGACACAGAGAAATGACAAATGCATTTAGGACAAGCACGGAGGTGAGCAGACCTAGGATCCTATTCTTGTTAAATAAAGCTTTGCTGCTTTTCTCTCGAAGAATAAGAGCCCTTTGTCCCTGCTGAAACCGGCAATGTTTTAGAAAGAGAAGTGATCAAACTATATTTTAAAAAGTGCAAACAAAACACCCAAGTTTCAGGAAAAAAAGCTTTACCACTGCAGGAGAAATATAAATGCAAGTATTTTTGTCCTTTAATCTGAATTTATACATGAAAGAATGTATCTCCTGGCCAGGAGTTCACACTCGGCCAAGAGTTCACACTCGGCTGGAATACAGAGTCAGCCTTTGATGAGTGAGGGGCTGGGGCCGAAAGAGGCTTGATTAGCTTTCGAACAGGAGACAGTGATGAAACCAGGCGGCTGGAAACTTCAAATACTCCCCCAAAGTCAGGGAAGTAAAAAGAAAACACAAGTTTTGCAAGCAAAATAAACATTAACAAAAGGAAAATATTTTAGATGTTGAGGAGGGAGGCTTGCCTGGTGCAAACCCTGCCCCTGGCTCAGAGCTGTGGCTAGCCTCACTTCAGGGACTTCGCTGGCCCTAGGGACACAGGGTCAGTGGCTTATGGGGAGGGGAGCAGGCAGGGCGGGGGTGGGGGTTAGAGGACGGGCTTAGTGGACAGGAATGACCTGAGACTAAACCCAGAGCTTCCAAGCTCCAGATGGGTGGTGGCCTGATTCTCCAGGACATCTTTGCATCTGACCGTTTTGTGTTTCAAGAGGCTTAGAGTCTGGGGTTCCATATTTAAAAGACCTCAAAGGGCTGGCAAAAGTATACAGAATCTGATTTGTACATTTAAAACATCAGCAATGAATAGCTCAGGTGAGAGTGTAAAAATGAATTAGTTGTTTGTTGTTTTCTTGGTGGGGGAAAAAAGAACAATTTCAGAAGTAAGTGTATGAAGGCAGAATAGACAAAACATCTTATCCTGGTATAAGAAGAACTCAGAGAATGCCCAGAACAAGTTTCTTTGAAAGGGAACTAAGATTTTCCCAATTGTGCTTCCAAATATTCCATTTTAGTTAGACATTTAATTAGCATGGTCTTTGAGATGTTAATGAGGTCATCTTTAACTACCACCATCTTTTCTGAAAGTAGCCTGGGCTCCTAGCCTATTTTGACCCTCCCCGGTCATGGGAAAGTAAGAGGCACAGGCTCTTAAACCAAGGGCCTGTGGGGTGATGAACTGAGGACCTTTCTCTAGAAACATAAGGGTGATGAAGAATTTGTGAGCTGCTCCTTGAACCTTGAAACCCCTCGGTTTGCTACTGGGGTTCTGTCCACAGAAGGGCTGCCAGCAGCACCCAGGATAAATTTATGATTATTATTAAATTTTGCTCTACAGGCAGTTTAGGGGAGAAATGAGCTGGTGTTATACTCCTTTCTGTGGATACAATTCAAGAAAAACAGTTCTTCGGTAAAAAAACTAACACGGCAGGACCAGAGTCAATCTGATGTGATAATAAACATAACTTCTGCACATCAGAACAAAGACAGAGAGTACGTGACTGCTTCGGGAAGTCTGCCTGACTTCATTGTGCTCAAGTGAGTCTTGCCAAGGCTCAGAAATATGATTAAGGTTCAGAACAAGACACCAAAAGGAGTGGGAAAAAAAAAAACAACAACTCTCCCAAATATAATCAGCTTCAAACAAAGGAATAATAGTCATGGCAGGATCCATTTCATAGGGACAAACACTTATTTAAATTACTTCTATTTGGTGAAGTCCAAAGGACTGAGTCAGGCGCTTAGTCTAACAATAGTGAAAGCGCAGCAGGGCAGCCTAGGGAAGGAGGAGCAAGAGCTCAAATTCTGGTGATTTCTTGGCATCTCAGGTTCATACTAAGTCTCGTCCGATTTCCTAGAGGGTGAGGTCAGCAGGAAAGGCAGGGGAGCGGAAGAGCGTGTCATCACGCGCACGCAGGCCCCTCCATGTGGAACACGTCTGCAGAGTCCCCAGGGCCGCCAGCCCGCCTGCTCCACAGCCAGAGCCGCGCTGGAGCCCGCCCGCGGCCAGACGTTTCCTCTCCGATGCCCAAGTGTGTCCCAGTTGACTGTCACCCAAGAGTCACCGTTCTTATTCTATGCTCGCTGAGTAGCAGGAATGCGCAGGGTGATCACCAGCAGAGCCCCAGAGGGAAGGGCTGCTTACTGTGGTTTGAGCTGAAGACACGTGCTCCAGCAGGGTGTGGGGATGGGTTTTGAACCACTGCCCGCCCAGCCCAGAACAGCACGGAGCAGTTTACAAAGAGGAAAGACTTCTTGGCTAAAAGAGCCGGAAAGCGCCAGTCAATGAGCGGTAACAGCTAGACCTGCTCTACTCTATCTGAATTTTGACCAAGTTATAACTTCTCATTCCAAGTAATTATCTTTTGATATGAAAAAGAAATCATGGTTCACTGCAAATTGCAGTTTTGTTTGCATCGCTGGCATCTTCCAGAAGGGTGGAGGTTCATTTACCCTGTGACTGGAGTGAGAAGGGGTGAGCCCGAGGGAGAGCAGAGCTGGGTGGGGTCTTGGCGTCTGTCCTGATGAGCGGGACAACTTGAGCCAGTTGTTGACTTCTCTGGGCTAGAGCTTTTGCACACATGAAGTAAAAATACTGCCCTTCTGACTGGGTCAAGGACACCTGGCAGGCTAGTGGAGGAAGGGGTGCCCCTCAGCATCCTGCTCCCGTGAGCACAGCGTCCCCTGTAACCTGCCCCTGGGGGTGCTGTGACCAGCCAAGTGAGGGGCTTAGCAGTGCCTGGCACTCTGGAGGGAATCACGGCAGGGCAGGGTCCTGAGCCCACCCCCAGTCAGTCTTTAAATACAATCCAGAGGAACACGTGTGGGGGAACAGGAACACAAGATTAAAGTCGTCAGTAACAACACAAAGGTGTCCCTTGGCACTACCCGAGCCTTACTGCAATCACTCAGGTGTAGCTGGTTATGGGACTCACTTGGGCATTGCACTGAAAGGGAACCATGTGGCTGGAAATACACTATCCAAGAAAGATGAAAAAGTTGTACACGCTGCTTCCGGAGAATGACAAATGGCAGAAATGAAGCACAATGGTTTCTTGACATGAAAAGGGAGATTCATCAGGACAGGGGTCAACTCCTCAGTTTAAGAGGAATAATATTGTTCTTTTCCCAAGGCCTGGCTGAGAAACCCAAGCCCTTCTCTTTCTCTCTCTCTCACACACACACACACACACTTTCTCTTTCTCTCTCTCTCATACCAAAAGGCTAAAAGAACACTGTCACCAAAGCTCCAGCTTACAGGCTTCTTAGTTAAATTAGTCTCCCTCAGCTCATTTCTGGAGTTTTCCTTTTCAGAAATGACAAAGACAGCAGATAAGCTTGTGGTTAAAACTAAAACTAAATCCAGGTTCTACTCTTCAGAAAAAAAAAAAAAAAAAAAAAACACTTACCAACCACCCCCCACCAGAGAATTCCATACTTTGTAGTGATGTAATTTCATATAAGCGGTCCCTTTCTTTTTCTCATCATAGCCGAGGTCACAGACTTACAAACACATCTCCCCTGGAGCTCGCTGGTGGAGAAACAGACTCAAGTATGGATCCCGTGTGCCTGGCTGAGGGCCATGTCTCCGAGAAAGTGAAAGCAGGGTCTTTCGGTCAAGGAAGCTCATCTGAAAGGCCCAGGATATGCTGGCAAGAGTGAGGGCAGCTGGAGAAGGAATTGGGGTGTTCACGTGGGGGCGGGGGAGAGGAATGTATGTATCTTGAGACCGTGGTGAGCACATGTCTGATACATGGGCCGGGGAAGCAGCTCCAAGCTTTAATACTCCTGCTAGGGAGTTTCCAGGGAGGAGGGTTAGGAGACTGGTCATTTTTCTTCATGACGGAGGGTCGGGCAGGTGCGGCTGCAGAGCCGAGGGGCACATGAGTGAGACCACCGGCCCCCAGCAACTGTGGACTGTGTAAGGCGGCTCCTTGTCTAGTCCAAGCCTCCCAAGCTGCGCCCCCATGAGCCACCCAGGGCTGGCATTTCTGCTGCCCTGTCCTTCCTGGGCCTCACAGGCTGCAGCAGACCATCTGGCCCAGCTCTGTGTCTTCCCAGCAGCCTGTGGAGCCACAGTCCAGTTGGTGGGTTGAATTGTGTTCCTTAAAAACGAGGCTGAAGCCCTGACCCCAGAATCAGTGACAGGGACCTCATTTGGAAAGAGGGTCTTTGCAGAAGCAAAGTGGCCAGAGCGGGAGACGGGCCGGGCACTGCAAGACCGGGAGGCGAAGGATCCACCACCAGGAGCTGGGAGGAGGCAGCGAAGTTCTGCTGGGTCCTTAGAAAGGTCATGGGCCCGGGTTGTACCCTGACATTGGACTGCTCGTCTCCAGACATGTGGGAGAATGAATTTCTGCTGGTTTAAGGCACCCCGTCACGGCAGCCTAAGAAATGAACACACCCAGGTTTCTTCATCACGATTCCAACTCTGAACCAGAAGATTACATAGAAGGGAGGTCCAATCACTCTTTTAAAGTCATTTTAAAATGACTTCTGACGCTGCAGAAAGATGATTGAGTTTACAGGATTCCTCTGACTTGCCAAGGGATGTCGCTGCTCTATTTGGCGATGACACGACTTGGCTGCTGGGACCACGCCCACCGCAACAAGGCCTGTGTCCTGATGTCACACTGCACGTCCCTCACAGGAGTGACCCAGGCTACTAGGCAGGAATTCATAGAAATCGAGTCAGGAGATTTTTATCAGATCATTTTTATAATAAATATGAGAAAAAACAAACCAAAACTGATGACCAAAAAGCACAAGCCAGCCAGCACCTAAGGCTGGTGCCATCGAGTCCGGAATAGTTTCCTAAAGCCAGTCAGCTCTGCCTACCTGAATGGGGTCTGTGCAAATCTTCTTCCTTCAGAACAAGCCTTTAATTTGCTCCGTCTTGGTGTCCAGGTCTATGTCATAAAAGCAGGGCCGAGTGGGCAGGCCAGGCATGGTGCTCATCTAGGAGAAGACAGAGAATCAGACTCGGGGGGCTGAAGTGTTACGTGTGGCAAATGCTCCGGGAGGCCCGCTCCAGCATCTGCTCCACACAGAATGACCACACTGGCCAATTCAGCCTCACAGAACTTTAGGTTTTATACATGCATTTCTTTAAATTCACCACCTGCTCTTTTAATCTGTATTTAAGGAAAAGAGATAGAAAAGTCAAGTGTCAACTTCCTGAAATGGAGACAACTTACCTCCAGACCTGCTTACCCACTGTGGTTCCCAAACAGTGATTTTCAAACTCTTTTTTTCTACATGAGATTTTTTTTTTTTTTTTTTAAAGATTTATTTATTTATTTATACAAGCACTGGGTATAGCCAGAAGCGCGGGAGGGTGAGAGAATTCACCAGAGCCAGAGCGGGGAGCAGAGCAGGCAGACTGATGAAGTACACTGCTGAGGGGAGCAGCGGGCGGCAGGAGAGGTCTGCGCGCCATGTGGGACCCTCCTCCGGTGGCCGGGGAGCAGCTGGGGATCGAACCGGCGCTGCAGAGGCTGTGGGCAGCTTCGCAACCCAGCGCTCAACCGCTGCACCACCGGGGAGGTCCTGTACATGAGATCTTAATGCTGCTCCCCAACAAAGATGAGCCCGTCTGGTCGAAGGGGATGGAGGAGTGGGTGCAGGGTACCCCAAGACATCTCTCTGTGAAACCCACAACTCCTGGAGCAGAGTTTGACGACTTTTGTTCTCCAGCTGGAATTGCTGTGGCTGCCTAAATAGCACCACAGTTTATTGAGAATGTACTATGTGGTTAGCACTGGACTGAATACTTGACTGCTTTTCCCTCTCAACAGCCCGAAGAGGTAAGTTCTTTCACCCTTGGGAATTATGAGGAAGGAAATGGTCTCTAGAGGGTTAGTCCCTTGCCCCAGGTCACACAGATCATAAGCTGCAAATCAGGAAATCTGAGTCCGCGGCTATATCTCCAATTGCTCCTTTCATTTTGTGCCCCTTCTGGACATGCTATACTTTTACATGAGTGACCTGACTGTGCCCCTCACCACTGCGGGATGACCTGCTCCCTACTGACTTTACGCCCTCCTGTGGTTTAGTGGGGCCCTTTTCATACAAAGGATGCTGGCCGCCCCGCTGGCGGAGCCGCCAATGGGATGAAGCCAAGAGCACTTACGCACGCAGGCCTTGCCGGCTCCGTCCCACCTGCTGAAAAGTCCCCAGTGAAAAATGTGCCCAGACAAGCCTGTCCCCGAACTGGAGCTTTTAAAAGTAGCCAAGATATTAAACGCCAGGAAGAGCAAAAGGTCGTCCCCCTCTGTTCAACTGACTTCTCTCAGATGGGGGACAAAGACTCCCATGTTCCTTTCCAGTGACGCAACTGCCACCTGCAGGAGGAGGACTCCTTCTTTGGGATAAGCGACACCTGACAAGAAAGCCGGGTCTGGAGGGCCGAGGGGCTGCTAGTCCCGGGGACAAAGAGCTCTGGCCAATGCATCTACTTTCAAATACAACTTCTCCTGCTGAGCACACGCAATATGGAATTATGTCAACAAGACCATTCACACTCACGTCGAATCCTCCCTCAACAGAAAACTCAGTTCTCAGGGCTGGTGTCCCCCACAGGAGAGCCAGTCCTGCTCCACAGGAAGTAAGAATTTGAGAGCCCCTGGGGTTGCTCCCTGGGCCCTGCCAGGGGTTGGGGTGGCCTCTGTTGGCTTTAGCAGCGTGACTTCTAAGGGGGCTTCTGCTTAAAATATGGAGGGACCACGACATGCACTCAGGCATCACGCGGCACTGACGACGCTTTCACAAAGGCTGAAAAACAGAGGCCTCTGCCCTTCTTGACCCTCATTTTAACTATAATCAATCTTCCAAATCGAAGAGATTTTAGTCTCAGCTTATTTAGGAGAAATCAGTCCTATGAAGAAATAGCCTTCATAAGCGTACATTAGGTCTAGTGCAGAGAAAATACTCGTGAACTTAGGAGGAGGCAAAAGCAGAAGTCGTGTGTTCAGTGGAGACATTATTTAGAAAATTCTGTCTGTGACAGAATCCAAATTTCAATTTAACCATAGCATCGCTGTTGTGAATTTTGTTGTGATGGTGTGAAATGACCTCTTTTCCTGTTGGTTCAAGAAAGAAACAAGCGCAGTGTTCACCTCCCCTGGTGACCCGACGCCTCCCCAACAGGTGACTCAACATGGCTGCTGTCAATCACCTTGTTTAGGAAAGTCAAGGACCAAAACGACTATAATGGTTAACCACATTATGATGTAAATTCAATAAAAATATTTTCTTTTTTATGAAATCATTCAAAGATTTGAGGTCTTATATTAAGAAAAGGATTTCTGGGTTGTAAATCCAGTATCCATTGCTTCTCGGCCTTTTGACCAAGACCAACTGTGAACAGTGTGTCCAGTAGTGTTAGGTCCTCAGTAAATAACTTCTAAAAAACAGATGAGCAAAGATGGAGACTGCCTGGGAAAGCTCAGGAAATGAACAAAAGGAAAACTTCTGGGGGGTTGGGCCTGTCTGGTGCTCCCTCCTCCTGTGGCTGCAAGGGGCAGGCCTGTTTATATCTACTGGCCATTTAGATAATGAAGCAAGTCAGCTAAAAGGAGGCCTGAGGGAAAATGGCCTCGCATCAATGTCACACAGCTGACGGCCGGGAGAGAGATGAAAAATCACTCCAAGGCCAGCAGATAGTGCGGCTACCACTGTGACTTCTGTTGTGCAGATGGATGTCGTGGGGGTTTACTCTGGGCGGTCAGCCAGCATCTACCTGCACGCATGTGCGTGCCTCCAACACAGACCCAGGTCCAGCAGCCGGGGCGCACTCGGGCATGCCCTGAGGGCCCTGACCTTGCCGTGGGCAGCGAGTGCCTGTGACTGTGCGCAAGGACATGTGGAAGGACCCAGCACTCAAGCCAGCAGCCTTCGCCGAGCACGCACTGGGGATGCCCAGGTGGAAGGACCTGCACATGCTTCCCACTGGACAGGCTAATAAAGCAGAGGCCTGGCTGTGGCATTCGGGACCAGTCATTTTTTACTCATCAAAAGTCCTTCCTTCTTCCCTGCTCATGTGAAAAGAATGAACACAATGCATTCTTAACTTATGACTTGCTATAATGGAAGTCAAGTTGAATTACTGTAAAAATCACTATGGTGCGCTCACATATTATGCCAGCCTTACACAGCTCCGATTATTCCCATTTATTTCAATGACCTTGAATGAAAGCAAATAGTAACTTTTCTCTTCTGCAAGGGAGAGCTTGCAGTGCTTCACACAAGCTAGAAAATGAAAATATTAGAGAGGATGAATGGTTTCAAGTTAAAAGCCTACTATGCATGAGACCCCCCATGTCTCCCTTTATTTGTTCTGACTCTAAGGGTGTGTCCCTAAGGCTGCTTTCAGCTGTGGCTGCCAGCATCACCCCCGCACTGCTTACTCAGTAAGACAATGTTCTTCCTGCCAGGTCCCTGGAAGACCAGCGTGGCACGGGCAGGCGGGGCAGCCTGAGGTGCCACCATTGTCCTTGGGCTTCCTGCGCTGCATGGGAGCTCCAGGCTGGAGCCACACCTGTGCATCCTAGACATGTTTTCTTTCATGGAGCCTTATTTTTTTTTCTGGATCCTTTATCAATATTCAAATAACAGTAACTTGGTACTCTCTAGTTCCCATGGTAAAACTTCTGGTAGAGGTACATATCAGGTAGAAAATGTAGCTGTATCTAGATACATATCTACTCCAGGGCCTCACATACAACTTGCACATGCTACATGCTAAGTCTACCACATACCTGGCACATACTAAGCATCTCATTTAATTTCAGAAGCCCCCTAAGATTAGCGTTATTTTTTTTCATTATCCCCACTTTGCAGATCAGGAAAATGAGACATGGAAAACAGAATAATTTACCCCAAGGCACACTGCCAATACCTGTGTGGAGTTCACATGCAGACAGCGTGACCCCAGGGCCTCGGCCCTAACCCTGCAGCCCTACTGCCTGCCTTGCACTTGGCATTTAGTCTCGGGCTGGGACCGCATAGGGCTGGTCTTTTCGCAGCGGGAGTGCGTGTCCTTTCAAGCTACAGCTGCTTCCACAGCATTAAAATCAACAAATATACACAAATGTGTAAATTCATTCACCGTAACTTTTAGTCTTGGTTCCTTTTAAACTTTAACATTTATTTAAGCATATGTGACATGGCTTATACTTGGCATAGTACTTTTCCAAATTACATCTTAAAAAAAATAACACCTGGACTGTTAGACCAGCTTTAAGACGTGGCTTACTTATTCCTACCTGAGAAGTATAAATAGTTGCTGTTATCCACTGAAACAACTTAAGAGGCATATGAATTTTTACTTAAAAATTGCTGGCAAAATGTTCTAGAGTTGAGATTTGCTCTGGTAACTAGCTTTACTGGGTTGGCAAAGTCCCAGTTAGACAGTTGTAAAATAACACTACCACGACCAACCACTGGCTGCTCTGTCTGTCCCTTCTCGCTTCCTAAAGGCTGCTTTGTTTTGACTCATTCCCAGAAAGAAACATTAAGGTCACACCTACATGCTTGTTTACAGTGCACCCTTCCTAGGACCATGGATGTTACGAAGGGCTCCCCGCCTCGCCCATGTCACCCATAGTGACTGCATCTGAGCCTGAGGCAGGGGAGATGCGGGGAGGGGGCTTTGGTATTGTATTTCTATTTACAGGTGCAGAAAAGGGCTGGAGGCAGTTGTGTGACTTTCCCTGGGTCACGGAGGAATGGCAATATCAAGCGCAAGGTTTGTAAGAGGCGTGCAGAATCAAGGGGGTAGCAGAACCCCATGGAGCCTAGGTGGGGAGGGCCCGTCCTCACTATTTGAGTGTTTTTGCACAAGCTACTTCCTCCAGCCTAGTTCTTTACTTGGAAATCAGTACGAGTATAAGAACATCCATAGTATGAAGTCTATTTTCAAAATTAAAATGAGATAAAGTAGGAAAGATTCTATAGCC